ATTTAACCCTCAATTTTATCAGTTTGTACACTATTGTCTAAAACTAAGTTGGTCACACTAGGTATTACCTAGGTAAGCCCCCACCCTCTTTAAGAAACTTACATAATACCCCATGGGCGTTTATGTGACGTAATACGGTGTTAATATAACATTAATATGGTGTTAATGAGAATATTGTAATATACTGTATGTAGTATTTAATAATTCTAACTTTATACTTTAGCTCTCTCGTTATATAATAAAATTTTATAACAAAAATATTATTTAATTAAATTTTAAATTCAATACATGTTTTAATATTATTTACAAAATTTTATTGCAAATATTCTTTATACAATTATGATTAATTAAAAATTGTTTATTTAATACATTTATTAAAATTTTAATTATTTATATTATAGCAGGATTCTACGTTAATATTAATAATTTGTTAGGTACAATATATTTTACAATCTATATTTCATTTAATTAAATTTTTATAAACGTATTATAAAAATTACAAAAGAAAACATCACATGCTTTACCCAAGCCTTAAATTTGACCTCCGGATTAAGGTCTTTATCACAATCTTTATCAACACATGCATATATATGTAGTTGTTTCTGAGTGGTGATTACAGCTTTTCTCACTCCCATTGATGTCTTTGATAATAAGCTGCAATACATAACTTGTAAAAATATTTTATTAAAACTATATTTAACACAATAAACGGAAATTTTATTAATTTAGGTACATAAAGTTTTATATTAAATATTGATTAAAATTTTTAAGCAAAATAAGCTAAATATGAATAAAACTTATTATTATAGAAATAATAAAATTATATAAATATTGAATTGATAGATATTTACTCGATTATCTTTTATTAAATGCATTAAAATTTTTAAAACAAAAATATTTTTTAAGTACTATATATTACAGTCAATACTAAAATAAACATAATTTCAAATTATTTTTCACTTTGATCCATTGCCCTACCCTAAATACTTTAAAATTCCAAATCCGGACAACCCCTAAAATTATAGTTTAGAAGATCACACATTACACAGGATCACGTAAAAACATTTAGTTTTATATATAATATCAGAAATAAATGAAATAAAGGTAACAACATATGAAAATAGGAGTAAATGGTAGACACCCTGTAGTTTTCGCAAACCGAGTGATGAGAAGTGATATTTGTCTTCGGCTTCAATGATGCCGAGTCTGAAGGCGTCGTTATTAGTCTCCAAAGTATTTCTAACCCAATACTCATAAATACCACTTTCGGAAAGACAACCAATTCTAACAAAATTAAGTATATATTAGTTAAAAACAAATAATATAAAGAGTAAACAAAAATATATTATATAAATATACATGTATATATAAGTCTTACATATAATTAATAACATTATTAATTTTTCCCGTATTAAATTTAGAGAGTGGCATAAAATATGGCAAAACCAAACTATTATATTTTGATGTATAAAGGTTTGGATGAGTAAATAATTTGGTGGCGTAATAGTAATCATTAAAAGGCTTATCAGTTACCAAAGCGAACACACCTTTTGAAATGCTATCAAAAACGTGTTTTTCCCACTTTTGCTTATTATTGCCAATCGTTACCGGTATTACCCGTCCCTTAAATGGGGTATAATAGGGTTCGTGTGGAGAATGAAGGTAATCAAAAGCTGGTTCATGTTCAAACGCACCAAACTTTATATGTTTTTCAGCTAAATCTTGCAGCGAATCGATCACATCGTATGGTAGACTGAATTCAAGGTATGTGAGCAAAACTCCAGAGTAGCTCCACATTAATATAGTTGAGCCAAATGTCCAAATCAATGCCATTATTGAGGTCTTCATATTTCTCTGTAAAAGATGTGAATTTTGCTTAAATATGTGCCCAAATAAACTAATATACGGTAACCATGTTTTCTCAATTATAATTCCAATCGTGGAAGTAACCAAGTAAAATAATACAAATAATATCCATACGCATGGATCAAATATTTGTAACAATTGTGTTAATCGTTCGGGCATAGGCTGCTTAGATGATAGTATTGATAGCATAGGCAAGTTGTCAATACATCGTGATAATTTTATATAATGCATTCCAGTCTCCATGAAATCAGTGATCGGAGGCAATGGAGACAACGCAAAGTTAATTGACATATTGGCAATCAGTTTATAATATTCGTAACTATTTCCAGAAGTTGTTGGCCTAAAAATTAAACTAATATGACATCATATTAACATTTTTACTTTACAATTGTTTTTACTAACTTTGCATTCATTTTGAGCGCAATTTCATACGCTATACCAAGAAATGGTCCGCAAATATGTATGTCATTTGTGCCAACAATATCCCCCACGTCTACGAATGGCTGCCAGAATTCGGCTGAAAAACTTAAATTACGTTCATTTATATGAAATATATTGTTATTTATCGAGACTGCAATTCCTTCTGTAAATTTATTACAAAATTTATCTTTCATTCTCAACCTATTTATTGCAAATCAATTATTCCTAATTATTATATAATTATTTGTAATACAAAATAAAGTTTACAATGTTTTCTGTTAAATTTTATTATTAATAATTTTAATTATTTACTAATACAAAATGTTGTAAATATAACAAATGTTTTATATTATTTTCCGTGATTAAGAAAAGATAAAATATATTTTCCGGAATCTACTGGACATGAATTGGAAGTGTCTAACGCTACGAATAATATGCAATATTGTTATTGCATTTCAGAACGAAATTATTATTTTTTAATTCAATGTATAACACTATTAATGTTACGCCTATTAAGTATACATTACATTAATTTATAATCAATATTACATTATTCTATAACAAATAGATTAATTGAAAGACTCACAAATTAAATTTATTTTGAATGGAGATAATATAAATTACATTCGTATTTTAAATGACTTAGAAATTCAGCATCTATTTCAATATAAAGTTTTGTTCAAAATTATTATTGATAACTAAAATATACTTTATAATAATTGTATAAACATTGAATTTGTATGTTATTTATTGCTGCATTTAATTTAAATAATTTATAAAAATACAATACTGTACATAATAAATATTTTTACATAACTATAGCAAAATTTAATTTGGATAAAATGTTAATTAATACTATAAAATTAATACTATAAGATAAATTATTTAAAAATAAATTGTTTAATAATTAATAAATAAAAAAATTCTATAAAATATATAAATAAAGAAGCAATAAAAACATAAAAGCAAACATTGAATGCATTTTTCAATTGACTTAAATTCAACGAAATCTTATATAAATTTACGTAATATGTAATCAAATTTGCATTATTTGGTTTCATTTTCCTATAGAACTCATGATTCCAGTGGTCTATAAGTCCAGCACTTTTTATCCATGAAATGCTAATTAAAATTAATAAAATAAGTTATATTTAACTTATTTTTAATTTAATAGTTATACATACGTTCTGTCAAATAATTGAATGAACATCAAATTTTTATTAAATGCAATGGCGAGCAAATCATTGAACATGTCAGTTTCATCAGATATTGGAGGCACATAATAAAAATAAGCACCACGTCGTTTCGATATATAATGCTCAATAAAATCCCTTTTGGCCATGTACATATATTTTTTGGGAAATCTAGCCATTAAATTAAATGCATCTTGTTCGTCGTCAAATGTTAATATTTTATAGATTTTTTGAGCTGTTTTTATCCGAGATTTCTATGAATTTAATAATAATGAAATTTATTTAACTTTATAAAATAGATTAGATTATAAGTTTTTATAGACAGTAATTGATTAAATATTGTTAGAATAATAAACTTATATATATTCTCCGAATTGTGGGCACATATGGGTTCTTCTCATTTAATATTAGATCAATTTGTCCATTGATTTGAGCCGTAAATAATTCATCGATTGTCTCAATGGGCTGTTGTTTTGAAGGATAGGCCACCTGTCCGTAGAGGTCTCCGCCATAATATTGTCGTAATAAAAATGTTGATAAAATCCATAGAATTATAAAAAATTGTGTTTTGCGATGAAATCTTAAATATCGATTGTGAGAGTAGTATTGCTATCAAATCATCACTAATTGTAAATCGTTTATATTTGAAATAATTAATTGCAATGTTTAGTATAATTAATACAATCAGTGATAACAATATTAATTCCCAGATCTGGATATCAAAAGGTCCCAAAAGTGATGTATTATAACGGATGCTCTGATATACGGGTGTTGTAAAGGTATACGAACTCGTGTAATGTGTATAACTATAAGTCACTGCCTCCAAACGACTGTCCAAAATACTCAGGTCACCAATTCCTAAATCCGATCTCTAGTCCAATATTTAGTATAATAATTATTATTATACTGTATAAAATTTTTATAACTTATATTAAAAATTTAATATTTTAAATACATTATGATAAATCTCTCCAATTACTCCATCCCATGTATTATTTGATAATTTTTTACCCCATTTATAATTGCAGTCAACCAAACGGTACGTAAAATTGAAACATTGACTTAATGTCCGCAATAACTGTCCGTCGATGCCATCAATGGCTTGTGTTTTATCATTCATATATCGCTTAACACCTGACATATACGGCGCGTTCTTTCATAAGATTATAAGAGTTATAATATGTACTTTAAAATCAATATTTACCTCATTTGTGGCCACAGATAATTGTCTATTAATCAGATGAAACTTCATTTAAAAACTAATTTACATGCAATATATTTCCCATACGCTAACTTATTTTTGACTCCCCCAAAATCAAGACAGCCCTTAATTATGTTTAATGAAAGGGCTGGCAAAAAATAAGTGATAATAAGTGATTTTAGGGGGAGTTAGCGTATGACTACAATATATCATTAAAATTTAATAAATATTAGCATTTATATGCAATATCTTTGCTCATAAAATTCAACAGAATCTAAAATATGATTAATAATTACATTGTATAATAAACAATTAAATGTCCAGATACTTTCTTAATAATATCAATTACGTTAAAATTTTAAATCAAGATTATAAGGAAATTATATGTATTTTAAATTTATCAACACAGATAATGTTGTTTGTGAAATAATTAAAGTTAAATAAAAATGTTGTAATGTTTTTATCTTTGAAACTAATAATTTGATTTAAATAAAAAAGATATTTTATATTATTTATACAATATTTTGTTTAATTAAATTTTTATAAACGTTTTATAATGTTTATGTTGAAATAGTAAATATAAATTAAATTGATTTTTTAATTCAAATAATGCGTTTAAATACTGAATAACAAAATATTTAACAATACATAATATACGAATACTTATTTGCAATATATAATCAGTAAACAAATTTTATTAAAACTATATATTACAAAATAAAATAAAATTTTCCTAACTTAAATACATACAGTTATATATGGTATATCGATTAAAAATACTTAATAAAATAAACTACATTTTAAACATGTACATTTCATAATGTTATTTATGAAAATGTGAATAATAAAAGTTTCTAAACAATAGAGTCAACAATATTAATGGTTATCTACTTTAAACACTATATTCATTAATAATTGATGTATATTTTATTCTCGTAAAATAAAAATTTATGTTTTATTCTTTACGAATACTAACTGCATTAATGTAAATTCAATTGTTATTTTATTAAATATACATTAGTCAAATATAACATGACTTATTTTATGCAATTGGGCAATATTAACTTTATTTAATGGCATAAACCTATTATAATATTCAAAGCATACAAATACATTAAAAAAACGTAACAGTGTTTCAGAATCGCTCGAGTCGTCCCATTTATAGCAAATACATTAAGTTTTTATCTAGAGTTTCCATAACAACCGGGATATCTGTTTGCTTTTAAAATGACTTTTCTGTTATAAAATAATAAATAAAATGAATGTTTAAATAAACTGCATTTAATGTTGAAATATAAAAATTCCAAATTAATATTCAATACAGTATTTACAACTTTTTATGTAAGTTATAGGTTTATAAAACTTAAATATTTTTAAACGAGTAAATAAATTTTAACAAACAGAATACGTATTACAAATGATTTAAAAATTATATTTATGTAAACTTTGGCAAAATTGTTAATAATTACAGTTAATAATATATACAATTAATATGTCTAAAAAGTCAAACAAAATACATACTCTAATGTCTGGCATTAAATGCAATAAATTATTGCCAAATGAATTGCGCATACAATCAGCAGAGAATCAATTGTATAAAATAGGATTATCCATATTTAAACCCAATGTACCAACTAAACGACCATGGTACTCTGCTCCAACAAATTTGTTTATTTGCCATTTTATTTGCATATTATTTACTTTTATTGGTATTGCAAATAACGGCCGAAATGAGACAATTGTCATAATATTTGGCGATTATCATCATATAATCGGCGCCGGTATTTATATAGCAATAGTGACAATGAGTGGCATAATATTTGTTTTAAGTATACATTTATTATATTTATATAATTATAAATCCAATTTGAAACCAACATTTCTACGCGTATTTGAGATGTTGTCGGGTATTATAACACCCAATAGTGTGGGTCTATCGGACCCCCAATCCCTCTATCGGTTCATCAAAACAGCGAAAACAATGTTCAAAATCACACATTTTCTATGCGAAAGGACTACAGTATTCACAGGTTTGCTGTGTTTTATTCCATACATTATATACAAACCAATACTCATTGCATTGGTATTCGGTATACCAAATGGCATTTTACTTGGACTGGTCTCTTATAATATCATGAACTGTATAACATGGTTGTTTGTTTATTTATATCTACTGTCATATTATATAAAAATTAAAATAGATTTTATTAACATTCGAATTAAAAAGATAAAAAATTATGACAATATTTTGTCAATAATCAGAGCATTGAATAATACATATTCGGAGATCAATGAATATAACACTACTTATTGGTCCAAATATTTACTATTTGTTTGGTTTATCATGGGTTCAATTGTGACACTTATGGTTTATAATATAATATGGATTAAACTCATTTTCCTAATTAGATTGATCTTGATATANTGAATAATACATATTCGGAGATCAATGAATATAACACTACTTATTGGTCCAAATATTTACTATTTGTTTGGTTTATCATGGGTTCAATTGTGACACTTATGGTTTATAATATAATATGGATTAAACTCATTTTCCTAATTAGATTGATCTTGATATATGTCACGTTGTGTGCTCTAATTATTTTTATATCGGTGTTAATTATTGCTTCATCAATTAATTCAAAAGCAAACAAATCGTATAAATTAATAAATTCTTACGCTATAAACAAATCATTAATAATTTAGAAAAATATTTATTTTATATATTTATTACAATTAACACGACTTAATTTTTTAAAATCAGTTATGTAATTTTTTATGTTATGTTTTATGTTCCGATTGATACAAATAAGACAATTTAAAAGCAAATACAAAATAAACTCATTTTTAATTATTCTTGGTTTTTTAAAATTAAAGTCAATGTTTCAATTTTACGTACCGTTTAGTTGGCTGTAATTATCAATGGGGAAATAAATTAGTAAATAACATTTGAAGTGATTTGACATTAAATCTTTAACAAGTACAAAGTTTTTATTAAAATAAATAGTAATTAAATCTTTGAAAATACAGAATTGAGTACATAGATACAATTATTAATGTACAATTTTTGTACAGTTAAACTGTTTTATAATTAATAAATAATATAATTCAATAAAATATATAAATAAAGAAGTAATAAAACCACAAAAGCAAACATTGAATGCATTTTTCAATTGATTTAAATTTAAAGTAATTTTGTAAAAATTCACATAATGTGTCATTAAATTTGAATTATTTTGTTTAATTTTTCTATAGAACTCTTGTTTCCAGTGATCTATAAGTCCGGCACTCGTTATCCATGAAATGCTAATTAATATTTATAAATTAAGTTACAATTAAATTAAATAAATATAATGCATTTTACATACGTTTTGTCAAATAAATCAATAAACATAAACTGTTTATTAAATGCAATGGCAATAAAATCGTTGAACATTTCAGTTTCATGAGATATTGGGGGTACATAATAAAAATAAACTTTACCGTTCTTCGATACATAATGCTGAATCAAATCCCTACTCGCTATATAAGCATATTTTGTGGGAAATCTAGCCATTAATTTAAATACATCTTCTACGAGGTCAAATACTAATATTTTATTAACATTTTGCGCCATTTCTATCCGAGATTTCTATCAATGTAATAATAATAAAATTAAAATTAAATTTAAATAGACAAACTACTAAATATGATAAAATCGTGTAAAGATAAACAATGTTATTTAGATAAGTAGAATTTGGATACATTAATGAAATTGTAATTGTTTGGATACTTTTAATATTTTTATGTTATATATTTCATATAAAAATAATGATGTACTTTTTGCAAAAGAATTAAACTTACATGCTAATAATTTATTATTGATAAATAATACAACAAATATGTTAAGATCTTCAGAGTGTGCAATATGTGAGCGCAAATTTTTCTATCAAGTAAGTAAAGTACCACCAATAGAGTCATGATTGGTAGTGTTGGTTGCAAATTACTTGCATGATATATATTATAAAGTTAGTTTGTTAAACAAGATTAATACTACAAAGTAAGTTTGTGAAACAATGAATATAAAATTATAATCAACTACTTATTTATATTTAATTTATATATTATTTATATATTTTATTTTATTTATATATTAATAATTTTTAAAGTAATTTGCAACCAACACTACCGATTATGACTATATCGGTGGTACTCTACTTACAAAATTCTACTTACTTAGTTAGAAAAATTTGCGCTAACATATTTCACACTCTGTATATAACATATAAACGACACAATATTTAAAATTTCAAAAAAATATAAATTTAGTTTCATTAATCATAACACTCTATGACAACCCGTAGAAAGGATTTTCGACATTGATTAAAAGTGTTGGAATAATAAACTTACATATATTTTCCGAATTATGGGCACATATGGGTTCTTCTTATCTAGAATTATCTCAATTTGTCCATTCATTTGAGCCGTAAATAATTCATCGATTGTCTCAATGGGCTGTTGTTTTGAAGGATACGCCACCTGTCCGTAGAGCTCTCCGCCATAATATTGTCGCAATAAAAATGTCGATAAAATCCATAAAATTATAACAAATCTGATTGTGTTTTGCAATGAAATCCTAGGAATCGATTGTGAGAGTAGTATTGCTATGAAATCATTATTAATTGTAAATCGTTTATATTTGATAAAATTGATTACAATATTAACTATAATTAACACAATCAGTGATAACAATATTAATTCCCAGATCTGGGTATCAAAAGGTCCCAAAAGTGATGTATTATAACGGATGCTCTGATATACGGGTGTAGTAAAGGTATATGAAGTCGTATAATGTGTATAACTATAAGTCACTGCTTCCAAACGACTGATCAAAATACTCAGGTCACCAATTCCTAAATCCGATCTCTAGTCCAATATTTAGTATAATCATTATTATTATGCAATTTTTAAATTTATTAATATTTTGATAATGATACATATTCTTAATTACATTATGATAAATCTCTCCAATCACTCCATTCCATGTACCATTTAATGATTTTTTGCCCCATTGATAATTACAGTCAATTAAACTGTACGTAAAATTGAAACATTGACTTAATGTCCGCAATAACTGTCCGTCGATGCCATCAATGGCTTGTGTTTTATCATTCATATACTGCTTAACGCCTGACATAAATGGCGGTATCTTTTATGGGATTATAAGAATTATGAGTTAAGTTATAATTCATTTCAAATAAACATTTACCTCATTTGTAGCCACAGATAATTGTCTATTAATCAGATGAAATTTCATTTGTATAATTGTTAAATACGTTATATAATTACGATTTAGTAATAATAGCACTTATAAGTAATTCACTGATAACTTAATTTAATATAATATATTTTGTTTTATAAACTATATACAATAATTTCACATAATAAATTTACAGTTTAAGAAAATCTAAAATAATCTAGAGCATTCATATACTATACTGATTTTATGAATTGATATATATTTATTTAATATCTAAAAGTATCAATATTATTATATTTATTAATACATAATGTCTATATAATTAGTTGGGCACTACTTTAATGCAACTATAGGTGCAACTATTTTATAGATGTGTAACATTAACTGAATAGGGGACTTTTTATTACTGGTTTGAATAATTCACAACTTTTATAAGTCTGAATATTAAATAACTTATAAAGATTTAGCTCTAATAATGAGCTGTAATGTAAGTCATAAACCTATTTTATTAAACGTTGTAAACAATAAAATTAATTTTTAATAATTTAGTACATAATATTTTATATTGTATATTGATTAAGTAATTTGAATAAAATAAAATATATATGCATTAGATTCAATATACATGTACTGTATATGAAAAGAATTAAATCATAAATTATTTTAATTATTTCTAATTAAAATAAAATGTTTTATATAATGTATAGATTTTCTAATATTTCCATGTAATAAGAAAGCC